CCTCCTGCACACACCCCACTGGGGATCGAGCCCACAACCTGGGCATGTGCCCCTGACTGGAATCGAACCTGGGACTCCCCCCAGTCTGCAGGCCGACACTCTATCCACTGAGCCAAACCAGCCAAGGCTAGGAGCTTCTCTTCTTACTTTCCCAATTGTAAGGGAGGCCTTCTTTCTCAGACAATGATCTTAAATGAGCAGAAAGAGTGGTAAAGTTGGGATCGGCAACTGTTACTTCCAAGCTCCTACTGGCTAAATCTGGGACAGTTTGAGCACCAAGATAATTAAATACAATAATGAGTTGTAAGAAACAGGAGTCCATATTGGTAATAAATGGATAGATGGGAGAGAAGGGAAGGCCCTTGCTTAGAGTAATGCTGAGGGGCTGCTGGAGTTGGAAAAGCATCATTTTGTGACCAACATGCCGAGCAGAGCAGGCAAGAATCAGCCGTGGACGTTGAATCTCGGGGCAGTGGATGCTAAATGTGGGTGAGGAGCAGGCTGTTGGCATGCTTTTCAAGACTGTCTCCACATTTTGTTTCTCCATTCATCTGTTGGGGACACTTGGCTACTGTGAATAGTGCTGCTGTGTATATTTGTGACCAAGTATTTGAGGACCTGTTTGCAATTCTCTCAGTTCTACCCAGGAGTGGGATTGCTGGGATAAATGGAAGTTCGATGTTCAACTTTATTTTTCGGATGCTTTTCTGCATGTGGTTGCAGTGCCCTGGGGAGCCTGATGGCCCCTCACGCAGCGCTGGGCGCCAGGAGCTGAGCCCAGAGTGCGGTGGGTGATGGAACGCTGCTCCCACCGAGTGTCAGCGTCTTCCTGGTCCATCACCTTTCTTGGCCCGCCCCCTAATCTATCCCTCTCCCCAACAGATGTGCCCGTGGAGAAGCTAGCTGCCATGCCTGCCTTGCGCAGCATCAATCTCCGCTTCAACCCGCTGAACGCCGAGGTGCGCGTCATCGCCCCGCCACTCATCAAGTTTGACATGCTCATGTCTCCAGAGGGCACGCGGGCCCCCCCACCTTAGGCCTCCCTCCTCATGCCCACCCAGAAGGGACAGAAGCCACTTGGCCTGGGACCCTGAGGGGAGGGAGCCCCAAGGGCCTGTGGGAGGCCAAGCTTGGAGGGCTGGGGATGGGTGGGCCCAACAGCGCGTGGGAGGGGGTGCAGCGGTCCAGGATAGATAGCTTAGAGCTGCAGAGGGTCCTGGAATGCCCAGAGGAGGAGGCGAGATGGGGGCTAGAGCCAGGACTCTGGGCATTCATAGCCTCTGTGCAAACTTGGGCAGGCCCCCACCCTCTCTGAGACTTACAGTTCCGGGAAAGGGCTTGTGGCAGTGGGTCTCTGCCTCCTTGGGCTCCTTGGAGGCCTTTTAGGGACACACGCCACCAAGTCTTCAATTCCTCGGTATCTTCTGAGCTCGCAGCTGAGCATCGCTGAGCATTTCTTGGGCCCCTGTGGGTTGAGGCCTTGCTTCTAGTGCTGAGAGCCAGTCGCTGCCCCAAGACGAACAGAAGACAACCTGCATCTATTTATTGCTTCCTGGGAACCAGCCCTTCTCCGTGCCCCATCCTGAGCCCTGTGGATCCCTGGATGGGCAGGAGCCTGAACCGGGAGTTGTGGGAAAGCTGCGGAGAGAGTGCGGACGCTGCAGCAGGGCTGACGATGTTTACATAGGAGCCCCAGAGCCATCAGGCGGGGAAACTGGGGAGCAGATCAAGTTGGCACCGTCCTTCCTCATGATTAAGAAATTGCTGGAGTGACCAGCTGTGCCTGGCACCACCTTGAGCTACAGGAGAGTGGCCCAGAGAGAAAGAAAGCCATTTACGCCTGTGCCTCCCTCCGCACAGTCTCTCTCTGGCAGCAGCAGACTGGCTGCCTTGTCATTGGTTCACCGGGATGCAGGCGGCATTGTGGACCGTTGGATTGTAGCCGGCCAGCCCCCGGGTCACCACTCAAAGCCCTGATAACCTCGTCATTTCTAGGCTCTGAACCTGGAGCCTGGCCAGGCAGTAGGGTGACCTGCCGCCCGTGTTTGCTCGGCACTTTCAGTGCTAACACGGGGACAGGACCGGCACAGGGACAACCGGTGGCTCCGCCAGGTGAGGCCTGGGCTCTGGCTTCCTGTGACGATACCTGTGGTGTGGAGAACCCCTGACTTCTTGACCCTGCAGGCATCTACCTCCCACCTTCTCATCTGTGGAGCAAGCAGATCAGCCCACCTGGTCTGGACTTTTGTCAGTGTCTGTGGGAGATGGCTGAGTCCCCAGGACTTGGGGCAAACCAGGCCACCCAAACCCTACTTCCGTGCGCCAGTGGCCACTCTGCCACACTCAGAGCACTGACCCTTTCTCCGAATGTTCCCATTCTATTCCCCGTCCCCTCCCCTTCCCCGGCCCTGAGCTGCCCTGCTCAGGCCTCCTGTCTCTTGGCAAGAAGCCGACAGTTTGGGAGGTTGTAGGCCTGTCACCAAGAACTAGAGACTCAGCTGAGAACTCAGCATCCCAGGAGATGCCTGCTCACCCTGCTCATCTCTCAGGCCTGGTAGGTCCAGCTCTGGGAAAAGGGTTTCCAGGGCGAGGAGGCCAGATAAGATCTCCAGGGCTGCGGAGTTCAGCCCGGGACAAGTGAGGGCTGTAGTGTAGCCCAGCCCGGCCTGGCCCCACTCACTGTGTCCTGGAGTGGGGTTTCTCTTTGTTGAAGAAGGGGTGCATTTCCTGATATGCAAAAAGGCATTGTCTGGCCAGAGCCTGCATGAGCACCTATGGGAGCTTGTCAGAAACACAGGACCCCAGGCCCAATCCCAGACCTCTGGGATCAGAACCCGCACTCCAGATCCCCAGGGATTCCTACAGGCACTTTACCCCTTTCCTGGGGTGGCCCTGGGGATGGCCTGGGAGTGAAAGGTGGAGTTTCTCAGCTTTCCCCCAATACCAAGTCCGTGCCCACCCCTCCCTCTCTAAAGCAGCCCTTCACTCCCACCCCGGGCCTCTTAGATCCGTGGTCGGCAAACTGCGGTTCGCGAGCCACATGCGGCTCTTTGGCCCCTTGAGTGTGGCTCTTCCACAAAATACCACATGCGGGCACACGTACAGTGTGATTGAAACTTCGTGGCCCATGTGCAGGAGTCGGTTTTCAGCCTGGGCGAGTCTATTTTGAAGAAGTACTGTTGATATTTGGCTCTGTTGACTAATGAGTTTGCCAACCACCGTCTTAGATCTTTCAGAGTCTGTGTGGCACTCCTGTGAAGGGAGGACCTGGAGTCCCCAGGAGATGAAGGTTGGATTTACCCGGCCCTCTGGCCTCCCTTTCTGGTTCCCCCCGCCCCGAAAGCCAAGCTGCTACTTCCCCAGGTCCTCATCTCAGGCCTTCCAGAGGGGCTGTTCTGGAAGCTGCGCCCTCCTCTGCGTGGGGAGTGTGCCCTGGCCCCTCTGGGAACGCTGGGCAGCCGAGAAGCCCCAGATCAGAGCACAGTGTGAGCCCTTAGCTTCAGTCTGCAATAAAGAATGCATTGGTTTCACCTGCCTGTTGGTGTTTGATTCATTCTCACCACACAGGCCCCGTAGCCTGTGGGTCAAACCTGCCCCCC